GAATACTATCGATGTCAACGCATCGATTATAGGCAAAATATCCAATGTGTAGGCAGCCATACTATCATGTATACGAAAAATGCCGTTAAGTCATGTACAGAAATTGACTGTAGAAAGAGGTGGTAATATCAAGGGAAGAAAGTGTTATTTTAAAAAAATCAACAGGAATCCTGTGTATTTATAGAATTCGTTACTTCAAAGTATTTGTCAACAGTGAGGCAGCGACGTATACTGTATTGTTTGACTAGAAAGTAGTTATTAGTCGTAGAATTCAACTGATATATTTCCTTCTACTTAGGTATTATTATTATTATTATTCGAATACTGTAATTCGTAGTTAATGCAACCATCCGGTTACTATCCTGCCACTTGCACATAATGTTGTCCGCTACAACTATTCATTGCAGTCTGGTTGATATTTTTACATAGTTACCAGATAATTGGAACCAGGTAAATTTCTGCTGCTCTTTACATTTGATCTTTAATAATATCCAATGGAACTTTTCTAAACAGGGGTTATAATCAGTCTGTTATAGTCGCACTAATCGGTTTGATTTGTAAACCACTAGGTTTCCTGGGTTACGCTAAAAAAGAGAATAGGAGTATAAATTCCAAGTTCATATGAATCTGTGTTAGTGTTTGCGTTTCCTTCTACTACATTTTACTGAGATGTATTGAGTGAATTTGACTCACTGTCTTCATGCATGACTTGTATGTTGCGACTCAACTATCATCAACATTATTTGTGGCAAAGAGTGTCAGTACTGAAGATTTTTACTATTGTAAGTTAAAATCGAGTACATGCGCGTTACGGACATGTGGTTATCACACCTAGTCGTCATGTGAGGACTGTCAGTTGTTACCAATATATCATTAGGTTGACATCTAATAGCTGACTTTTTTAAACTTTTATCAGTTTGCGATGTACGTTAGTTTTTTTTTAGTCTGTTAATAATAGCCTTCCTTTGTTCGATTTTTCTTAAAGAGTATGCGTTCGAATTGCATTCATTAAGACTTAGACTTGAAATTTAAATCCGTTGTTTCTGTCCTTTCGTTAGTCTCAAAATTAAAGCATTATCTTTGGTGCCGCTTTCTCGAAAACTATGCTACTGGGAATGTGTAATCACCATGTGGTGAGAGCTGTCTACTAGCCAAATTGGTAGACAGTAATTGACGTCAATGTTTACGTTCTCAAAATTTGTCGTGAGTAAATATGAACAAAGACTGATTTAAAAGCGACCACAGCAGACTTTGTGTAGGCGGATGCAGTTAACATATAGATGATCTGACATTCAAGAAACAGTCAAAAAGAGATGAAAGATTAACTTAAAGTGAGAAACAACCAAATCAGAAGACTGGATTATTTCTGACGTATGGAGTAATTGTGACTTACATAGACTATCTCAACCTCGGATATTTCAGACAACATTGTCAAACTCTAATGATCCATCTGTTAAAGATTACAGTTTTGTTTTTAAAAGACTGACTACTTCAATCATGAGTATTAGTTGAACCAGCCTTTCTTGAGGCTACTGCTGTTCTTAAACCCATAAAGTTTCATACTGTTGTTCACAATGTAGTTAGAATATCTAACTTTTTGAGTTGACACACAACTATAGCAATAGTTCAAAAGCAATCAGTCAACACAGGTGAACACTCGTAGCAAATTATCGTTATCAATGGTGCTAAAATATGTTCAGTATTTTGGTTAGATCAATAGGAAACAAGTTGATTTTTGTATTCTCAGGTGAGCTAGCTTCCTTAACCTAACCTGTTTACTTCTCTTTTCACAAAAGATGCGAAACACTGCACCAACTGAATGTAAATATTTAGGTAACTATGCTATCATCCCTCTTATGTGTTCATGGAAAAGAAAAATCCATTGTATTCTATCATATAAAAACACACTATTCAGCGAAGAGACCTTTTCAACTCTTTTCTATAAAATAGCCCATTTTTCTTAATAGATTTATGCATACAATGTACACATAGGGTTTTTATTGCGATATTCAGTTGTTTGGATTTTTATGAATACTGTGCCAGATTAGTGTTTTAAAACCCTCATCGATTTCTTGTTCAGACGAAGTAAAACGAATGTCCACTGGCTTACGCACACCAATGATAATAACAATAGTAATAATAATAATAATAATGTTTTCAATTTAGGCAGCGATTTTCTCGTTACTCTCTGTGCATATCTTTAACAATTTCTAACAGTTGCTGTTCCTTCCACTAGGCGTTCACACACACAAAAACACACTTTCTTGTATAGTTTATGTGCGTGTGCATAGATGGGATAGGTGAACACTATGGCCGTAGATGAATATTTACAATCACGGAAGTTATTTTTCTGTGTATTTGTCTATATTTCATATAAGCTAATCTGCTTGTACTGGTGTGTGTACACCTAATGCCGACTGATGTGCACCAGCTAACTGACATCACAAATTTGTTTCATACCGGTATATAATATACACACATACATCAGATCGGTCTACTACTATCATTAATATTGTTGCTGATAGATATACAAACAGACAAACAGGATGGTGACGGCTAACTCTAAGCTGTATATGCATTATTGAACTACAATAACAACAACAACAAACATAAGAGATATTTGTTTGTCGGCTCAGTGATCTATCCACCTATCTAATGTATGGCGGCAAATGGCGGTGACGGACTTATGACAAGCATATACATAAAATGCGCTTAAAAACAACAAAGCAAAATATGCATGCCTTGTTATTTGCGGATGTAAATGCTTGTGTGTACGTACCAGTGTGTATGTTCATGTGTTTATCTGCCGCTTTCTCTATAATGTTCCTAATTTTGTGTGTTTGTCTATTCACGTGTTCTTTTTTTTGGTATACATATCACTCGATGCATAGCATATGTATGCTAATGAAAGGCTAAGCAATTTCACTTTTCTCTATACTTGCTTTACCTATTTAATCTATAATCATGAACACTGGAGCATTTCGTGTGAATTCGATAGTTTACCTGAGAAATATAAAAAGATTTAAAAAATTGGTATAAGAAATAATATTTATCAATTTGAAGTCAGCTAGGGCAGGTAAGTTAGTGATTGGACTCACGTAGTTCCATTGTTGTCGATGTCTAGGGCACATGTTATGCATGCAATGCAGGATTAATTTGTAAAGGTATTAAGGGTAGTTTTACCAAAATATAACATGGATCAATGAAGTGACTGAAAAGTTGACCTGAGTCGTGTAAGGAGGTAAGATCTTGGTACCGTTGGAGAGAAAGGTTGGGAACTGTTGATGATATAGCTCAAAATGGTTCTCGATCGCTTAACTATATGGCAAGAATGTTAACTAATGTTCGCGCAATCTTGTTTGATTGGTTGGAGGATTTCACCATGAGCTGACATCAGACAGAAAATCACTGGAAAACGTGGGGGTACTGAATAGCTGTTTCGTCCTAGTTTGGAACTCTTCATCAGTACACACCTCCCTACAAAATCAATGCTTGAAAATTAATCTGACACTGACTAGGGACTAACCCTGTTCAGACAGGGATTCACTTGTTTTCGAAGTTCATTGTTGGAAAGTCAGTAAGTTTATGAGTAGGTTGTTCGTGTAGGGTCGTTGGGAAAGCAGAGTCAATGGGTGAAGACATTTATAAATAGGTGGCTGTAAGTCTTTTGGAACTGTAGAAATTTTTCCTTGGGATGTTAAAGGTTTTCAATAATCTCAACTTGATTTAAATACTATTCTTCCTTGCATTCACCTTTGTTCATAGTGGTTTGATTGTATTTGTTTTTCCTACTCTTATGTTTACTATTCGGAATCGTGGAAGTTTCAGTTGAATTTCTGTGCAAACTTGTTCCTTGTCTCGTCATTCATATTTTAGTCAAGTTTCACTTTCAACTCATTGAGACGTGGTCATTTATTGGGTTTCATGACTGACTATTCTGTAAACTGATAACCTGATGGCATTTGGCCTTATGCTTGTGCAACCTGAGTTTTTCTTACTATCATTTTTGTAAAATGATGTCAGATTTCCAAAATCGGGAACTGTCATGTATAACCGAGTTAACAGACTATGTCATTATGACTTTACAGATTCAATTTTAGAAACTATTCCTTCTTAGATTACATGACTAGTTGAGCATGCAGTGCGTAAATGCAACTAAAAGTTACTGGAAACCAACGGTTTTGTCGTTGGTATACTTCGACAGTAAATAAACAGGTCCCAATTCAAGGTTGAATTTGTAGTGTCTAAATCTTGTGATTAAAAGTAATTTATATGCGTGAACTTTTGTCACTGGATCGTAACCAATGTAGGTGTGATAATAGTTTCAGTTATTGTGAACACCGGGCTACAAAATGCCAGATTAAGGTGGAAACTCCGTCAGAGAAAATTTCCTAAATTATACTTTCCGTGCTTTCTATCTTCTGACAGTAAAGTTTGGCTATATAGTTGCTCGTAATGTTCATATCTTTATTTTCATCGGTGAATTAGTAAGTGAACAATCCTCTTAACTGGTAAATAATAACAAACCAAACAACTGTAATAATATCTGAATTATACTTCGCAAATATCAATTTGATACCATAGCTATTTTTTTTTCCTTCACGTTCCCCTGTGGAACATAGGGCCTCAAGCTTAGTGGCTTGAAGTTACTGTAGCAGTGTTTATTTTACAGGATGGGGTTGCTAGCCTCATGCCCAACCTTTTCGATTTACCAGTCTCACTACTGGCTTAGTGAGGTAAAGGAGTGCGTCGGCCGGGGATCGAACCCCGGAACATATGCATGGCCTGCGAGCGTCCTAACGGCTATACCACCGACGCTATTTGGGAACCAAATATTATGTTGCTAGATAGTAATGAATGGTACTTTTCAGATGATCATCACTCATTACAGAATTAATTTGACAATGTTGTAAATCAGTTTAAAACCTTGAATTTTTTAGTTTTTCCCAATTACTACTACGCAGTAATTTTTGTTTTAATGTTTTAAAAATAATATTCAGATTAACCAGTGATACATCGCAACATTCATGTAATAATAAAGTGGATGTACCCTGCGAAAAACATGATAATTATGACAATAAGCCGCAAATAACTCACCAGTCACATTTGTTGAATATGCTTCCATCGCACGATACTAATCATACAGCTCAACCATCATCTACATCTATGCAAACTGCATGTCATCCGAATCATGTAAACATTTCCACTGGTGGATTGTTAGTCCACGGTAATCACTGTAATAATGCATCAAAAGAATCATCTCATCCGAATAAACTTCATCATCCAGTTAGGAAACAAACGAATTTAGCTGAATCTGATCCGACCTTATTTGTTCAGTTGCTAACGGAGAGACTTGAGAAAGTGAAGGAGTCACGTGGTAAAGTGGAGAAGTTAATGTCTCTTGTTAATCAGGTAGGTTGATTCTTTTTTCTTTATGAAAGTGGAGATAGCAAACTTATTATATATCAAAAGTTAATTAACAGGTTATTCCTAACTTCAGTTTTGCACTTTTTTGTAAGCATCAAGGCATATCTAAAATATTTAGAAAACACGTCTTCTCTGGGACTTCTTGCAATTAAATCGAAAGAATAGACCCCAATAAGGTTATGAGAAAACTTCAACGGATAATGACAGTAAGTTCCAACAGTTTAGCAAACAGGACTAAGTTGGCTGGATGAAAATGTCGGTAACTTGAGCTTAGTTTGGCGAGTCCATATTGGAACACTTTCGACAGGAATGTCTGAAAAGTATACTGTCCAATAGAGTCAGGACCGAGAGAGAAGTTCTGTTGTCCCAGTTCGATATATCTATGAACAGTGGTTATCTCATTAGGTCGTATGTCTAGACTTCCAACTGGCCATGTATTCAGTCACAAGTCCGATTGATACTCCGCTGTGGGTTCAGTCTAAGTGAATTAGGTGGTATCCCCAGTGGTTGTAACGCATTAGTTGTAGTCTTTTGCATAAGAAATAGACCCATATTTAGATGACGTATTAAACTGACGAGACTGTTGAACATAAATATTATGTTATAATTATTCGCTCCTTTATTTTCGAGTGAAACACATAGGATACATCTCCATCGCACTCATTTCTCTGCTATCACTTCCAACATTTCCCACAACTGCTCACAAGGTTTAATTTCATCTTCACACAATCCCTTCCATGTCATCTTTGGACGCCCAACCCATTATTTTGCATTCGAATTTCATTAGGGTGTGATTCAACTGGTGATTATTTTCTTTTAAGTTATCAACTCCATTTAATGTTTTATACTAACTAATTAGAATTATTTTATAAATTCTGGAATCCTGGTTGTGTATGAGTACCTCGTAGTTATGCTGTACTTCCTCCGAAAGTATGTTAGGATCACATTACGCCAATGCCAATTGAACCACCTAAAGCAGGACTAGTCTCTGAAGTTGTTATGCTACGACCAGAAACAATAACTCCATGGGTAATGAGACCAAAAATCTGAATGCGTTACGTGAATGACACATTTGTGATAACTAGGAGAAATGATATAGTAAGCAGTTTTAAGCTAATCATCAGCTTTTTCGATGACATCACATTTACAAGAGGAGAGGAATTAGAAAACGAAATTTCCATCTATGGATGGAAAAAAGTCAAACCACACATCAAATACTGAGTAATAACAGCTGTAATCCATCATTACAGACCAGCAGATATATACAAACCTTATTCAAAAGTGTCAGGGCTATCTTGGGAAACCGTCTTCCAGCAAAATGGATATCAAAGGAACTTCAGAGAAAAAATGTTACCCACACTTGGTCCAATCTATTGCCATCTGACAGATATTACAAGGAAAATCACCCTACCATATATGAAGAGAATTTTTGTCATCAGTGTCATGTTATTGAAACCTTTTGGAATAAATGTTGTCCACGAACCAGCCCAACAGCAAAAGAATACAAAGCCAACATTCTTCATAGGATAACTTGCATCATCTGTGAGAAACACTATATTGATCAGAGTGAAGGTCTGCTTATTCTTATCATCCATGAATACAAACTGCTAGTCAGAAAAAATGACCTACATCCCTTCATATGGACATGGACAACTACGAGCATCAATTTAATCGTGAAAAGATAGAGGAAACCTGTCAAAGTAAGGGAAGTGTTACTCTGGTAACCAGATTTTTCTTCAGTCTATCAACCTATCAGTTTATAGCAATTTATAAAACGCACGTCGCTTTGGTGATTCAATGGTACGGATGCTTACCAGCCATTCAAGTGGTCCCGGTTCGATTTTCGACCAGTTCACTCTTAAACCTCTTCTAGTTCTATGGCCGCTAGCAAATCCGAAAAAGACGGAAGGTTGTACGTGAGATTAGCAACGGTATCTTATGGAAACAATTCTACTGGAACTTCAAATCTTGAAGACCATGCTTCACACTTAGAACGCAAGGAATGAAAAAAAAGTAGAATGCACTGATATCATTTTACGGCATTTATTTTCTTCCCTCAGCCATGTGCTAGTTATAATAAATAAATCATTACTAATTAAACAATTGTGAACATGGTGTACATTTGAAAATTAGTTGGGCTTATTAATATCCGACAAAATATGACGACATTAGATGGTTGGATAAGTTGATGTTTTATTACCAGTTTTTATTTTAAATTAACCTGTAAATGTCTTTTGTCTGTTGAGTTTAACAATTTCCTGTTTTGTTGTATTTCTCATTGAAGGTTGATGAAAAACATTCAGTAGAATCTGGACATTCAAGCGTACCACTAAAGGACACTAAGGAATACAATCGGCCACTGCAATTAAATAATTCTACTTGGTGTCAACAGGATGCTACAAATTCTTCAATAAATCCTTCTGCCAATGAAGTTAATTTCACTTCTGCACATATTATTCATTCATCGACTACTGATGATTCAAAACGACTGAATTATCCTCATGAATCAGCATTCTATAGAAATAGACGACACACTGATAAATCACAAGACGCTCAAGAGATATTGGATGATCATTGTTCTCGAATATGGGCAGATGAATTAGGTGATAGTACTATTAATGCAAGTAAAACACATTATCGTAGACAACAAAGTGATTGTAGTCGTAATACAACTAGTCGATCGTCTACAACACCTTATCCTATAATATCAGATACACTTGTTCATTCAATGCATTCCAGTCTTGTGCGTGGCGGTTCAAGTGGTACTGAATATGAAATGAAACGATTGTCTGAGCAATACAGAACTACAACAGCTTCCTATTCGTCTGCCAATAGTAATAATAATATTAGTAGTAATCAGCCTAGCATGTCAGACAGTTCTCATCGTAGATGGCATACTGCTGGAAGTTATCGAGGTATGAATCGACTAAATAAATCAGATGTACGTTCAACAGCTTCCTGGGATAGTGGTGTAGTTACAAGTTATGAAATGAAAAGCTTGAATCTTAACAATAATCCTGACGATAATGATTATCTTGATGCAGAGACTAGTTCAATTCTAGAAGCTGCCAGTGTACAAGCATTGTCCTCATCAACTACTGAGTTGGCTCTTGTCAATGGAGAGGTAACAGCAAAACTAGTTGAAAAAATGATACGTCATTATCCTCATAAAACATTCGATCGAGATAGTAGGCATAATGGAAATATGCTACCCCTATTCAATTCGAGTCAAAGGAAAAAGGAAACAATAAATCCCGGATATGAATATAAATATAGACTGGAGAGGAAGTGGCAACAACAACAACAACAATCTGGGCACTTCTACGAATCTCCGTATGTACAAGGTTTTAATCCTAATTCTTCACTTTGCTCAGCTTGTCAACATTCTGCTGATAGAGTTCCATGTGACTGGCATCATTGTTTTCATTATCCTTCAACACATTCTACATCGAATGAACACTCATCTCCTCACTTAATGGTAACAAGTTGTGGCTGTAATCAGTCTAGTGATAAGTCAATGCTTGGTAGTTCATGTCGAAGCTTCCCAACTGCTTCGGATACTTCGAGTACATTTGACTCAGGGATCTCATCTGCCTATGACCAGCTACCTTTACAGAAACACACAAATAACCGCGAAAATCGAAGCCAGTATGTTTTACTTGTCGTATTTTTCTGTATTTGTTTTTAGTTATTTGAAGTTATACAACCTTTTTCTAAATTTATTTCCGATGATATTGTTCCCCCCAAGAATGTCGAGTATAATTAAAATAGTATGTTCTATTGTTTTGTGCACTGTTAAGTAGTCTAGTCTCTCGTCAGTTTCAGCTTCTAACCATGAACTTTCCCAAAGTATAGAGAGGAAGAATCATCAAAGTGAATTATACTAAACGCATAAACACGTACACTTTTGTTGAATGAAATCTAAATATCATGGGATTATGTAGCACATTAAGTGATTTCCTACTCATTAAAAAGATAGAAAAAGTCGTAACAATTATAGAACTATTCCGTGTTGAAATTCATCATAGAATATTCGTAAAGGAAAGTGTATCAGGCCTGAGTGTTTTTTTTATTCCTTCACATTCCCAGTGGAACGTAGGGCTCCAAGCTAGAGGCTTGAAGTTTCTGTAGCAGTGTTTATTTTTACAGGACGGGGTTGCTAGCCTCATGCCCAACCTTCCCTCTTTACCGGTCTGATTACTGGCTTAGCGGGGTAAAGGAGTACGTCGAACGGGGATCGAACCCCGGACCATTTATATGGTCGGCAAGCGTCCTAACCGCTGTACCACCGACGCACCTTGTCCTGCGTGTTAGTTTGCATTAACATCTAATGTTAACTTGGAATGAAATGATAAGTTATCGGCAAAATGTTAAATGTAACTGAATCAGGTGTGCCAAAGTCCCTTTTTAACCAATAGTATTAGCTTTGTGTACTGTTTTTAAGTTCATACGCTTAAGGTGTGTGAAAGAAATTAAATTACAGTAGTAGTTGTAGTTTTTTTGTGTAATTTTGCATATATATATATATTATCCTTATCTAATTTCTTTTACTATTGTTATTCTAGAAGCCTTCATAATTGGCAAATGAACGTCAATTTAAAAGATACAAATCTATCAACTCCTCGAGGAAATCGTACACACTCTGCTTCGAAATCATCATGCGATAGTAACAATACTAGTAGGAGCATTAATTATCCTCAAACAAACTGTCTTATCGCGTCATGTTATGAGTTTAATTCAAGCCAATTACCAGGACACTATATGCAAAATGATCTATGCCCTACACGTCATCATCATTGTCCAGAGATGATGATGATTAAGGATGTAAATAAGCATGGTGAGTTGGTTTTTCTTTGTTGTCCAGATGTCAAGTTGTTAATTGAAAGTCGAATGCCTCGATAAAGAAGCCGTTGCCCTACAGTAGGATTTGTCATACTGTTACCAAACATAATTATGAAATTAATAAAACGAATTAGGTGTTGACGAAGACGGAAAGTAAAGCACAAAGATATGATATATGTCTTTAAACCATACTCCTGATGTAGTTTACAAAACTCCACAATTAAACCCATTTTAGGCTGTTTTGCAGCATACTTTACAGTTATGCACTGTGCACCTAAGTTGAATTTTAACATATCGCTTGCTCATTCGAACTCTTCCTTATTTTGATGATAACTATTGGTTTTTACACAATAGAATAATGCTTTTAACCAAGAGTTGATTACACTAAAACTATCTCGTACAGTATCTCAGTGAGAAGACCGTCATTCACTGAGAATTGCAGATGGACATCCAGTGATGTGTCCTAAATAGGACGAAATGCCCATCCTGGATTCCACTGCCAGTCACCATTCGAAATAAGACTGTCTCTAGTTTTTATGTTAGGACTTTACTCAGTTCATGATAAAATTTTGATTAAAACTTAACTCATTAATATTGTTACCATTTTCTCACTGTTATGATTCATGCTTTAGGAGGTAAATATTTTCTTTCGTCTATCGCATACTCCTGTGCACTTTCAGACAAATATATATGACTCTACACACATACACACAAATATACAATCATATGCACAATCATGTAAATAATACACGTCAACATTAGGACTGTTATCTTGTGTAGAGGTGAGGACTTTCATGTATTGATTATTAATGAAAGGCATACTCCTGTGTCTACGTGTACGTGTAAAGTTTATTTGTATCATCTGCATACAAGCGCATAGAGATGAAATAAAAAGGCAGTGGAGCAAATTTTAGTGTTTATGTATCTTAATCTTTTAACTGTTGTCGTGTTTTTTGTCTTCATGCGACTTTGTTCTTTTCTATGCTAAGTCATAGATCAAAGAGACCGCAAAGCATTTTTACGTGTTCATGTGTATATCTATGCGTGTATAGGCGTGTGTGTGTGTGTGTCGGGGAAAGGTTTCGTTTGTATACACATTTTTCTGTGGAATATGGGAAAAAAATACACACATAAAACAGGGACACAGGCATTATTTGGCTATAATATAATTGAAGTGTATATTTTCAGAAATTTGTTTTCCTGCCTATCTCCTTTAATGCTTCTAGTAAATTTCGGTTGAATTATTTTTCTTTGTCTCTTTTCCCCCTTTTTCGTCTCTCTTTCTTCTCTCTCTGTACTTATATGTGCGTCATTCATAATCGTTGTCTGTTTTTTTTGTATCTCACTGCGAAAACACTTTCCCTATTGTGGCTTTCACTTTGATGTTCTTCTGTGCTTTTGTCTCTTCTTTCGTACTTTCCCTTCTTTGGTTTTCGGCGTTTTGTTTTTGTTCAACTAATAGTTGAATGTTTTTCATTCACTGTTTAATCTGTGATCAATTAGCCTGTTCCTCCTGTTTTGTTCTGTGCTACTACTGTTTCTACTACGAACTATTATTATTGTTATTAGTACTACTACTGCTACACATGCATAGGCTGCCAAGATTATCATATATATATATATGACTTGTTATATCGGCATTATTCTTTGATATTTTGTCTTGTTGATTTTCTTGCCTTAATTAGTATTATTCCACTTATGCTTATGTGTGTGTCTGCATACTCATAGATTCGTTCACCTTATAAAAGTGGCTTATTACTACTATTCATCCACTTATATTAGATAGATTAGTATGGCAGTAAACACTGATACACTCTTATCGTATATTTATTCTTTGTGCCCATTTCTGTTGCATGTATGTAAGTGTGTGGATGCACACTTTCATCTATTTTCGGCTTTCATTTTTTTTCAAGTCGAAAAGAGATTAAATTTTTTAGTTTATTTGCTTGCATTTCAATATTTGACGTATATATATATTACTTTCATTGAGGATGATGATTCTATAGTGGTGGAACAAAAGTGATGCAATAAAAGTTATAAAGTGCTGGTGATGGTAGTAAAGTGCAAGTGGGGGGGGGGGAAGACATGATTCTGTTGATGTTGGTATTAGTGAAAATGATCAGTGTAGTTAGTGAATGATAATGATGGTAGTGGAGGGTGGATGAATGAATGAATAGTCGGATTATTTTTTATATGATTTTTGATTACTTTGATGTTTCAGCAAATTAAATTCACTAGCATCTATTCTGTGATAATAACTGCAAAGGATTGTGACCATAGATGGCCAAAATAACTCATTCATTTCATGTTTCCGATATAGTTTCTCATCCACGGGAAGAAAGTGCAGAGAACCGTCAGAATGGTCCTGTTTTTTCTCTCGGTTTTCCGTCATTTATCATTATTCCCTTCAGTTCCGAGTGGAACATAAGGCTTCAACAACACATCTTCACTTTGTCCTTTCTTCTGCCGTCCTCTTCAGCTTGGACCACTGTTGCCCACAATCTCTTATCTCCTCCTCACACGATCTCCTCCAGGTTACCCTCGCAGTGACGACCCACTCGTCGCTTCCATTGGGATTCCACTCGAGCGATGACCTGGCGTGCGATGTCATTCGACAGTCCCCTCAACACATGCCCGATCCATCTCCATTTTACCCTACATATTTGCTGATCAATCGGTTCTTGGTTGGTTTGTTCCACTGCAGAGTTTCTTGTTACTAATTCTTTCTGGCCGGCTGGCTATTTGATCTTCAGTATGCAGCCAGTGAAGGCAGCTGTCGATAAAAGTCTGTGACTTGTTGGAAATCCTTTTCGTGACACGTCGGCCAAGTTTCTGACCCGTATTGAAGGACCGACTTGACATTGGTGTTGTAAATGTGCGAATCTTGTTCCTTATGTTAAGTGTAGAAGATTTCCAAACTGGTTTCAGATTGAGGAAGGCGTATCTTGCGTTTCCCATTCTGACTTTGGCATCATCCGTTCCGCCGTTTTTGGTCATTACTGATACACAAACTATTATTATTTCTTTACTACCTGTATTATAATTATTATGTTGAATGGGAGTTGTCTTGCAGGCTTGATTAGATCACTCACTGATTTAAATGTGCAATAAAAATATCAAATGATTTTGTTGGCAAGTGTTTGTATATATATATATATATATATATATATATAAGTATTAAGTCTGTGCTAGAAACTTCAACTTCCGTTTTACATGTGGAGTTTTAGAAGTGTGTAAGGATAAGTACTAACATATTGAGCATAAATGATATCACTTATATTAAGATTGAAATGGAATATCCAACATTGAAAGATTTGTGCTTTAATCACGATACCCTAAATAAATTGCTCTGAGTAGTTTTATCCACACTTCTCGACTGCTGCTATCAATTTAATGGAAAGTCTAATCACAAGTGGGTTAAATTGGCATGGAAATATTGGAAATAGGTGTTGCTTTCCAGGGATTTGATTTGTTTCAAGTTGCATGATGAACTGGGCATCTGTTTCATCGCATTTCGGGACTGTTCCATCGCACGCACCCGTGACTGCACCAGACATCTAGCTCAGAACTTCCATGTTGTGAGGTGAGCCCGTTGACCACCTTGTGGTTACTAGGATTCCCTAGTTTTCAATGGTTTCTTAAGTGTTGTAGGATTGCGTGGTCCAACTTGGCAAGACTTTTCCTTCTACCTTCTTGCTGTTCGGTTTTATTTTTTGCTGTAAATTTACAACTTAATTTTCTTTGGTTAACTGGAAACGCTGAAAGTGAAAACACCTTCATATTTTGGCGTGTTTCTTTGTCTGTCTATGTGTTCTCTCACATAAACTAATCCTAAGAGTACGCTATGTGTTCATAGTAATAATGATAATAATAATTTCTGTTTTTGTTTAGTGGTTAGTTTCATTTAAAATTCAGCCATACTTCTTTATTTAACTCATTTGGTGAAAATATTCATGATACATTTACTCCTCTCTACTTTTCATTCCCTGCTAGATGGAAATGAATGTAAAAAGCCTTCCAGTGGTAAATTGCTTCAACACTGGCTACAGTTGCAACAACAACACCCATCTGAGAAATCTCATTGTCCTGCTAATGATGGACAAGGCAAAGCATTATCAGATAATACAATTCCTGGTGATCATTTGCGATCACACATCAATAAGGCGTGCAAGGAATCACATGAACGAAAAACCCACCACCATGGTCATAATCATCGAAAATCTAGTGCACAACGTACAAACAGTAGTCCGAAGTATTCACTCAATAATAACAACAATATGGAGTTGAGTAGTTGTCAACATCATTCTGACGATGATGACAATAAGACAAACAGGTCAGTTTATTTCTCTTTTTTTCATTTTATGTGTATTGAACTAATACTTGCTTGACCTAATGTCATTCTACTGTGATTCGAGTAGCTGCCTGGTGTCGCGCTAGTCATCAGTTTCTGGTGTGTGTAATCTGTTCTCACTGATTCGGATTACGCATTACATGATTCTGTGAACCTGTGTAATCTGTCATTATTATCAGTATTATTTAATACATATCTACGTAAAGTAGTCGAGAACGCGAAATTATCTGTCAACAGGCATAATTCTTATGTGTTGATTACTAAGAATATAAAATGTGAAGCTTACTGATAGGTTCAGCATCAGATATGAATAGGACTAGATATGATATGGGTATTGAGTTGAAAAGGTGCAGCTAAAATGCAACCAAAGCTTTGTTGTCAGCTACAGCATTCACTGTAGCAGATGTAAATGCAGTATTCACAAGTATATAAATGGAGGGAAGAAAACAATCTGTTGTATGTTATTAAGCTTTGCTTTTTCCTTGTAGAGTCATCTTTGAAATCAGTTCTTGTTTTTTGTCGTCCTCATTTTTCCGCAGCTAAGTCAACATGTACATGGTTTTCTTTTTTTTTAAGTGTACATATGGATAGTAGATTAACATCTTCAACAGCAACAAACACACAACAACAAACATCTAACGTAAATTCCTCTGGTCCAGGATTAGTTGTCGGCTATTATCTATGCGATGATCCAGTACCATATCGAACTGTTTGGACTGGACCAACTACTGCAGCACACACTAACCAAACGTCCTCCGCCTCTTCAGCAGTACTTGTTGAAGTTAACGATCAGTCACAAACAGTAGATAACTGTCAAACTAATTCGACTGGTCAACCTCTGTTAACACTCGGGCAATTCAAACAACTGATAGCTAAAAAGGGTGTTTATCGGTAAGTGAACTTTTGTGAATTTCTCCTTCAATGTTTAGTTTTTCGTTTTTAATTTACTATTGGAATTATCTGGTTGATATTTTCCGTTCGAAAGTAGTTTTTCAGATATCAGTTGAAGGAATGAGGGCAAACTGTTGAAGAGATTTGGCTGTGATGTAAACTAACTTGTGTAGGTCAATCACTTCTCTGTAAGCCTCTAAGCCTTTTAGTTAAATAAGTCTTGCCGTTCACACACCTTTCAAAATCTGTAAAACAATACAACATGTCAGAATACATACTTCTTATACACTGGTTATAATCGATTATCTGTTTGAGTTCAGTTCACAGAGTAGGTCTTTTATGCTTCTGCCTATTAGGCACACTTGCTGTGTTAGGGTTGATGGTACTACTCCTTTGCCTAGGTTGAATTATGTGGAGCAAGATCTGAACTTGGGACCTATTAACCGGCAATCGAGTGCTTTGGTGAACAGTGAGTCATGTCTGCATATCGATTATCTAGATTAATATGATTTTGTCATGTCTGTTTTTTCATATTTGTTGCCCTTTTTTGTGTTATGCGAGTGACTGACACTGGTGGGATTGTCAAAGTTGGAAGGCAGGAAGCCAGTAACCAAAAAATAGGGTCAACCAGAATTTGGACACGCTTACTATAATGCATCTAAGTAGCCTGGTAGTTGGCGTGGTGGAAGAAAATCTATCTCATATCATGTATTTCACTCTATGTAAATTGTGAAAGTAGAAGGGTTGAAAAGAATGAACTTCGGGAGAAATTGAATTGGATTTTGTGATTCTCTTTAAATTAGTGTTATTTTCTCTATATTGTAATGTCTTGTGCGCATAGCTATTTGCATATTTGCATATACCACGCTTACTTTGTGGTCTCTTGACGCTCATATCTTTTACTCTTCATTGCTTCTCTTTCTTTTTTTATTCATTACAGATACTTTTTCAAGAAACCAAATGATGAATTCGGCACTGGTGTGGTCCATGAAGAGTTAACTAACGATGACGCTACTTTACCTTTGTGGGAAGGCAAAGTGGTTGCACGCGTGGAACGTGCCGATTAAAGTAGACATTTATTTATATTACTCACTTACCTACCTCCATTCACTTTTGTACGTTATTCAGTAATCCACCCTATTCTCTTTGCATCTATGCGCTTACGGCTAACGTGGCTTTCACTAATCTTTGAATACTATATGCATTTACAGTGTATACAACATACGCATGTTTACCTTTTAGTTAGTAATGTTAGCAGTAACAGTACTGGTTGCACAGTTTGTCTTAGCCTTACTACTACCTTGACTTCTTTATCTACTTGTTAATTTTTCGTGTACAGTTGCATTTTATCCGTATACATGTTTTTACTCAGTATTCGCCTATTCTATACTCCTTTCTTATTGTGCTTTTGTCTCTCTCTCTATATCACTTACTTGATTGTATGTAAATAAGTCTAATTTTACTGTATTATCACTGTCATCACCACTATTATTATTATTATTACTATTTCATCTTTACTACTTGCTATTTGACGGTAGTAGTGTTGTGTTTACAAGCGTGAACATCATAGTAGCATGAGACAGTTGATTCTCTCAGGCCTCTAATTTTTGATGACAAAATAACAACAATGTATTCATGCACATCCATTATACATATACTATATAACAGAGGCGGAAAAAAGCAACCATTGGTCGTTGCCTCCTTTCACTCTACATGTCTATACTTATACAAATGTTTTTCATAGAATCCAATCGTGCTAAGACTATTGTTTACTTCAATTCTGCCACATATAAGTTCACATCATTAATTCTAATTAACCGATTTATATTTCCGTTTTTTTTGTGTGTGTTTTGATTCTCTCCTTTTTTTTCCATATTGGATTTTGTTGATATTGTCTAAGGGGAAAGAAAATACATCTATTTTTTAAATTTGTTCTGATTATATTCTCGAGTAAATTCAGTAATCTTGAATAAAGAGGTCAGCAGGCAAGTAGTAGTAGTATATAGTATTGACTGAGGGATGTAGAAATGCTAGGATATGCATTGCTGCGCTCAATATGTCAAATGTATATAGCAGCAACTGTGGAAAGTTCTGTAACACACAACTAACAGAGTGATATTTTCTCCTGTTATGCAGTATTGAGATTAGATGTGATATGATTTGAAGTTTGTTGGTGAATTATTATTGTGACTGGCGTCCGACTATTCATTCTCAGAAGGGACATGAGTTCCTTCAAGGTTGCAGATACGCCTTGCTGATGAGTGCCAACTAGCACGAAACCTAGGTTCAAGGCTTCCTGCCGATTGCCTCCAACTATCTAATATCAAATCAATGTGCATCGTGATGGCGAGCTACCTAGAATGGTGGCCACATTGCAAATACCTGACTGATAGAATTCAGTCTGCACCAAAGAAGGACTAGATACGTCACACTAGTTACTAGTGCCCAATCAAAATATTCATTCATCTGTCAGTCATACCATAATGCAAAGGGTTTCTAGTTTAGTCTTTAATAAAATCCCCAGTTTTTTGTAATTCTCATGAGAAGTGATATTTTACTATTCCACTTCTAGGTGGTTAAGGAGAAACCTGTGTATGTTCTCAGAATACACTGAAATTTTACTTAAGGTTTACTTAACATGTTTCGTTGTGTGGGTTGGGTAGTATTCTGGTTTTTACAAGTTTATCATTTGCGCGTACATATACTCCTTATTATAAGAGCGTGAAACTATAATAGACAAGATTTGTAGCTCAGGTGAATGATTTTGAAAATAGGTTGTGTTCTCTGAGCTGGTCGATTTACTTGCGAAGCTTTCGTCATCCTTCCTCCTTCTGGACAAAATCTTCAGCGCATGTCTTAATATAAAATGAACTCATTTTAATTCTCCATAATAGTTGCGATCACATTTTCGAAAATTTTTCATCCTTTATATCAATTCATTGTCAAAGCTGCTGCAACAGTATAGATCCCTTGAAAATTTGAAGTAAAAAGTATCGTAATACTCAAGTTGTTCTACTTCAGAAAAGAGATTAAAGTGTAACAACAGAAGTCAAGACACGGAAGTCAAGGTATATTTTCCATTAATCAAACCGCTGTTCATATATCTACACCTTATACTCTTTAACCAATCACTGAGCTTGCGATTTCGGTTTACATCAAACGACATGAAATAGAACGTTCAAATATACATAGTATTCTATTGCTAGTGCATTATATAACCGTGGGAAATGTATTCTGTCTCTAACACCGAATATAATGTTCAAATGGATATATTGTATGCAGTATTGAACTGTGGGAATAGCACTGCAACTCTAACACCGAATAGAATGTTCAAGTGGATATATTGTATTGTATTGTTAATACCGAATTGAAGTGTGTGAAAATGTGAGAATGACATTCCGTTGGCACACATTGTCTATAACACACCACCACCACAAGAGGAGCTGGATAACTTATGTTTTACGAATGTTAAACATTCCGTAGCTAACTTCATTTTGCCGACTGCTTACAGCCAATTGTTAATAAGATATTATAACCAGTAGAGAATGATATCCAGAATTCAGAGATGTCACCAGTCCACTAATAAACAATAAAATAGCATTTTAAATAGCGGACCTATAGTTGCTAGTTCAAGTCACACTGTGGTTCTTCAGAAGTCATTCAGTGGCAGATAAGTTTCAGTTATGTGGTTTTATTGCGATTTCCTAAACCTTCACATCTATAAATGGTAAATTTCGGCACTGAGAATAATACCAAATAAAGGCATACCATTGTACATCCAACTATCAAGGGTATGAAGCAACTACTAATACTAAAAGTAGAGGAAGTTTTTAGCTGTGTAGATTTTATTATTCATTAGTATCCTATTCTTATTTTATCATGAAGTAATATCTGAGCAGAAAACAACAAGGGAAAAGTATCTTGTAGTAAGTTAATAGATAAAAGAGGGAAGAGTTTTCACGAGTTTTGAATTAAGTCATTTGCACACTCAAGTGTAGATTACGAATAAGAAACCAAATGGCTGATGTTGACTATTTTAGCGGGGGAAAACTGGATGCAAAGACAAGAAGTTATTGGAGTGATAAGATTGGAATGAAATGTTCTATACGAGGGTTATTTTCTCACTAAATACTGACACCAATATCGATCAACAACAATAAGCGTCTGAAAATTTCCTAGTAGATTTTCCTGGCCCTAACTGTGCGTCGGTAGCACAGTGGTTAGGACTCTCGCCGACCATGCACATGGTCCGGGGTTCGATCCCCTGCCGGCGCACACCCGATATCTATGGTTGGCCTGAATTTGGGCTACCGATATCCATGCTGAAAATTCCACACTTGTACTGAAAATACGGTGTGGAATCAAGCTGTAAATCAAAATAAATAAATAAAAATAATTCACTCAATAGTCTTCTGATTGTGTATCCTATCCATTTCCATTTTCTTCTGCGTATTTGCTGAGCAATAGATTATTGATTGGTTTGTTCCTAGAGTTTCTTGTTGCTAACTTTTTCTGGCGATTTGATCTTCAATACAGGCACAGACAGCTGTTGATACAATTCTACAACCTGTTGGAAATGCTTTTCATGACGCTTGTACCAAGTTTATCACCCATATAGAAGAATTGACTGACTTGACATTGAAAGTCCGAATCTTGTTCTTTATGCTTAGTTCAGAAGATTTCCGAACTGTTTTCACAATGATGAAGGTGTACTTTGCCTCTACGATTGTGGCTTTGACATCCTCATTCGTATCGAATGCCTGTAGTTGAAACGGTACTTCCTAGATAATTGAGCGGAGTGATCTCTTTTAAATTTCCGTTGATAGCGATTGGTGCTGGTTAGTGGTTAGATACTTTCACTTCCGTCTTCTCCATGTTCACTTGAAATCCCGTCTTTGATTCATGTGTCTTCTGTCAACTTGTTGGTTTTCGTCTGTAAGTCTTCGACTCTATGTTACACTACACATAGATCATCTGCGAGGTTGAGATCCAGTGTCCTTACCGGTCCAACGTATTACTTTTTCACTTCTCATGTACGGTGTGCCAAATAATCTAGTTCACAATTATTAAGAATGTCATCAGCGGTAGTAGGCAACTTTGTCTTACTCCTGTATTCACTTCAAACGCTTCTCTGACTTTTCCATTGTGGACTACTTGGCAAGTGAAGCTGTCATATAAGTGTTGAATGAGGTTGATAGAGATTTTGGGAATGTCATATTATTGAAGTAGTCTCCTAAATTACTTCGCTGTCAACACTGTCGAGGGCCTTTTCAAAGTCGATGAAACTGAAATACAGATTTGATTGCCATTTTTTTTTCTCGATGATGCGTAGAGTTGCGATTTGATCTGCATATGACTTGCTTTTCATTAATCCAACTTGTTCTGGGCTTATTTCTGCATCCACAGCATCTGTTATTCTCTTTGGGATAACGCGACTTAGTATTTTAATTAGGGTGAAAAAGGGTATGACTCCATACCAGTTCTCGCAGTGACCTAACTCACTCCTCTTCGGCAGTTTGACAAGGTTGCCTTTCTTCCAATGGGCAGGTGCCTCCCAAACATGTGCAGTAGTGGCCTGAGCAATATCTACTGAGGTTTCTGGACCCGTTTTCAGTCCTTCAGGAGGAATTCCGTCTGGACGAGATGCAGGTGATAGTCAACTCAAGAATCGTTTGAAATGATCAGTCTATTGTTTTATTTGTCTCTCCTCGCTAGTGATTGGGTTCCATCTGCGTTGATGTTTTCCCTCATAGAGATCTAGTTATTTGATATGATGTTCTGAGGTCTGTTCTGCTTCAGTTGCCAGTGTGTCGTAGAACTGTCTTTTGTCTTTCCTAGCACTCTTCATCACTTCTATATTCACTGCAGTGTACATTGAACTCAGCTTCTCCTTCTGTTGCCCATTTTTGCATTGGGTCATCATCTCATGTATTTCACCATCCTCCTCTCCTCGATTAGCTTCCTGGTATCCATGAAGAGCCATTTCTTGTCTTGTCTCTTCTCTCTCCCTAGAACAGTTGTACACGTTTCCTTGAATATCGCTTTCGGAAAGTTCCAATGTTCTTCCACGCAGGTTACCTCGATGATAACACGCAGTGTGTCCGACTTTGCTCTGATATCTGTAGTGAAGGCATCCCTTGTGTTTTTGTCCTTCAGTTTCTGAATGTTGAACTTGTATTACAGTGGTCTGTCTGCAGTTGTTTTGAAGGCTTTCGGCCTGACCCTGAAATTTCCTTGACCTAGATAATGGTCTCAGCAGACATCTACTCCTCTTTCCGATTTTGTGTCCAGCAGGCTGCATCTCCAACTTCTTGAGACTGAGATGAAATCTATCTGGTTTTTGGTGTGTCCGTCAGGTGAAATCCATGTTACCTTGTGCATATCCTTGTGACTGTATATACCATCTCCAAACACCGAGTCACTGAAGGCACACAAGTCTGTGAAGAGTTCTCCATTATCTTTCATTTTTCGGAGAGCCTCTCGACCCAATAGAAAAAATATATAAATTACATTTACTATCAGAACAACTTTTTCTCGCAATGACAAGGAGTACCTGATGGGAATGAAGAGTAACATAAGTCCGGAATGATATCAGTTGTTAAGTTATTAAGAATTAAAAAGTCTACGAAGAATTTATTGTTCTCATTCATTTCGCCGAGAGACTCTCGAATCATGATAATTTGGTTTTCTTCCTGTATTGTCTACCCCCAGTTTATCATTCATGTCTCCTGTAAGGATTTTGTTGTTACCATTTAGTGTCTTGTCAATACTGTTTGCAGTTGTCTATAGAAATTTTCCTTCTCTCGATGTGAGTTCTTTGTCGACACGTAGCACCTAATAATTGTAGCCCTCCTTCACTTTTAGTTGAATTTTGCTGTAATTATCCTGGAGGAGATTCTTCCCTGTTGGTGACATCATGATGGCTACTCACTCAGTGCACTGGCTGACCAGTTGACAGCTTCGATAGTCCACATCTATTCCAACTGCTCTCGCATATCCCTAACACCTCCATGCCATATTTTTTAATTTCTTTGGCTACCTGAGCAGCTTTCCCGGCTTTGTACATTGTACGAACATTCCACGTCCCCATCCTTATTTTTGCTTTCATCGGAAGAGGACATATCGGTTGATTGGCTTCCTGAAGGCTTTCACTAGACTGCGGCACTTCGTCTCTCCGATTCCACTAAGACATATGTTTGTTTTTTATGTTTTCGTTGTGCATTGAAGTTTTTGTAGCGATTCACCCAATAAACGAAAAAAGAACAAGTATGAATTCTCTTGTAATTGGCAATTAAGTTGTTTTGGTGGACTGTTAATTAATTTTATTCATAAACAAAAGTTCCCTGTTTTGTCAAGTATGAAATTGAACTGTGTATTTATCAGTCACTTATCTTACAGTACATTTAACCGGAACTCTACTGCCTCTTAATGGTATTTAATAGGATCTAGCATAAAACAGTATATAATTCTTTCTCAAAAATCTTGTGATTTATCTTGTGATGGAGTTACTATATGAATCCATCATTTCTCTCGCATATTATGATTTATTGTGTGATCATCATCTTTTATCTCACCTTGGTCTTTGTCGGACCGGCAAACAATCAGAAAAACTATTGCCAGTCAGTAAGAAGAATCCATTTCTACAGCTGTGAGCCGACTTATTTCTGGTAAAGAAAATGTATAAATAAGTGTTGTTTCCTAATAAAATATACAGTATCTTACAGTCACAGACCAGCCTTTGTCTTTTGATATATGCGTGGCTCATTGAGGCGGAAGATACAACGGACGAATAGGCGTATTAGCGTACTGGTCGAGTTCGTTACCGTTATAACAATTAGCGGCGTGAACATAACATTATGGTAACACATTTAAGCCTTGGAAAAAATGGTATAGATATCTACACCTTATTAGTTTGATTTTCAAAATACTAGCCATTCAGTCGTATTTCCCAATTATGCTTCATTTCCTTTAGCTTAGAATTACAGAATGTGGTATAGGTCTTCCTACACTACACAGGTTCGTTAGCCTAGGAGATAAATCTGTGCCAGACTACTCAGCTGCATAGAAAGTTTACTCTGTACTAACGCTGTCCAAAGATGTATTTCTTATGAGCAGCATTCTTAAGTCTTAGTTTCTAATGTTCACTAGATATAATGAAACGAGGGCAAGTGTGATCATACAGATTGACATAGCAGTATATAACCAGTACTTCTATCTGTTCACCAAGAGAAGACGATCGTTGTGGACGTCAGGTGCAATAATTCAGTGCTAAAAGCATAGAAACAATGTTCAAACTAATGTGCATCTTGAAAATGTGGCAGTTGCTGCTTCATTGATCGCTTTGTATATATCACTTCAACTTTTACTACTCAGTAGTTGGACTGCTTTGAAATATTATAAGTTGAATGATTGCACCATTTTAATAATGTGTGATCAATGTATTCCATTTTTTTAAGGTATGCAACCTTATTATCCAATTAAACCTATACTACCTATAATAAACTTTCGAAAACTCACCTGATCATTTGCTAAGTTATCGTTGAATGTGTCTGCTTCGTTTATCTGAATGTCTTCAAAGTTAACTACGGTGACCTCATACAGCATTTCGATCTACTTCTTATACTTCAAAAAGAATTCAGTCTTTTGATCACGCGCACGGAAAATTTACAGTTAGAATTCAACCACGCCATATTTCATCAGGTTGATACAACCAGAATATAATGTTATGTCTACCTCATACTTGTTGGCATCACTAGTACACAGGCTTGGACGGATAGACATGAATCTGGCGAAAATGTGGGACTAAGTTCTACAACTGATATGTTATCTAAACGTATGATTGCATCTCCACGCCAACAAAAGTCATTAGGCCACAGATTCTGTCAAGAAATATGGGTAAACTGACAAGTTTCCTTTATAAAGGTGGAGTTCCAGTTATTTCGTTCATTGCATGATTCGGATTTACATTTAAGTAATGTCAGTATCATCTCTGCATGCCCGCAATTCTGTCATTTTGATTAAAGTGTGCGAACTGACTCAGATTGTAAACTGTTGAAAAGAACTAACGAGGGAAGATGATATCATGCTATCCTGCTCAGTTTGTGTTGCTCCTCCACTCGAAGACAAATACTCATACAATAAGTTCTATTAGACTGATGAATACTCTCTTTTACTCGATAAGAATGACGAAGTCACTGTTTGAAGATATTTTATTTTGGTTAGTAATATTTTAGCAATGATGAAGTTAATGAAACTAATTATTGTTATTATCATTATTACAATTTTTCAAATTATTTTCACTGTTTCGTAACAATCAGAGTGATATTTTTGCACAGTTTAAAGGTTTTATAGTCATTCACATGTCGGTGAGATCTTTATTCATCTATTTGAACTCACTGCACTGCATTCGTTCTTCTAGAAATCAGTAAATGTAGAAATAAGAAAAACAAACAATATTTCATTATAAAATCAACCTGAATTTTGCAGAAATCGAAAAAGTGAGATTTGAAAAGGAATTCAAATTATTTGATTCATACACGATGAGTTAGCTGGAGCTCTTAATCAGTTCATCTTTTGAGTTGTGTGTTTCGCGGTAACCAGTTAACACCGGATCGAGATACCCATTTTATTCTATTTTGAAATTATAGAACAAAATCCACCTAATTTTTATTAGGCGATGGTGTTCTCAGGATAAAAAACTAGCTTTTACTTGGAATGCACATGACAGCGGAATATCCTTCCAGCCATTTTCTCCTCCTTTGGAATCAATAAAATTTGAACACAGGGTGATATTTGGTTTTAAATGTTTCTTAACTTATTAGTAGTCATAATAGTATTTAATCTGCATAACTTAATTTATTGAATTTCAGTTATTAGTCTAACAGTTTTGTAGTAATCAGAACACAATACAAAACCAACAGCAGTCTGAGTAAAAATAAGCAAGTGATTAAACAAAGCTGTTGAATATATAGGTGAGATTGTAACAACAGAAGTAAAGACACGGAAGTCAAGCTATATTTTCCATTAATCAAACTGCTGTTCTTCATATATCTACACCTTATACTCTTTAACCAATCACTGAGCTTGCAATTTCGATTTACATCAAACGACATAAAATAGAACGTTCAAATATACATAGTATTCTGTTGCCAGTGCAGTATATAACCGTGGGAAATGTATTCTGTCTCTAACATTAAATAGAATGTTCAAATGGATATATGGTATGCAGCATTGAACTGTGGGAATGGCATTGCAACTCTAACACCGAATACAATGTTCAAGTGGATATATTGTATTGTGTTGTTCATGCCAAATTAAACTGTGTGAACAAGTAAGTATAATATTCCGTTGACACACATTGTCCGTATCACACCACCACAAGTTGATCAGCAATCATGTCTCCTAACTAATTTTACATTTTCCTCATTAGAAATTCAGTTGAATAGTTTAATCTAAACTGATTAGCAGTGTCTGCTGAATAAGATTATAGGAAATAACATTATGAAGAACTGGATGTCTCCTTTCATCTAGTTTTTCAATCCATACCAGTATTCCTTTTTTTCTTCTGGTTCCAATAACGCCCAAAGGTATAATTTGTTAGTAATTTTCTGAACTGGCCTGATCTTATAAGCTTAATAGTTTAGTTTTACGCCAACTCATTTAGTTTGGACTCGTTTGAATGTTTTATGAATAGCTGAATAATCTTCTATTCTTTATCTCAGGCTGGTAAATTTTCATGAGAACCAGTGATGACCGGATAATATGAAATAACTGTTGCATTTATGACATTTATTACTAGGATTGTACAGTAGTGTAGTTTTTCAAGGCACCTATCATTGATAGATATTGAACTCATCTAGCTCAGTGATAAAAACTTCGGAATTTGATGATAAGATAAAACAAGTGAATTGAAGTTTGTATGACAAGCATACATTGTTATGCGAAGTAATACATAGTGAGTTTGACTAAAAGTCGATGTCTGTGTCACCCTAAGGATAAATATTGTAATCAGTGTTCCATATTCAGTGCGCAACTGGTTATGAAAGGGTACGCAGTACTGATGAGTCGGAAATTAGAATGAAACACTTGGGCTGTGCTCCTGGGTTTTCAGAGCTGGTCATTTCCCAGATAATTGTTTTTGTCGAAATCTGTCTTGAGATTAGGTATCTGTTGTTACCTTTAGCTGTTACACCAGAAAAAGATGTCTGTTACAGGATTTCATCATGAGCTGACATTAGTTAGAGAATCATTGGAAAACCAGCTGGGAGTACTGGATAGCTGTTTCGTCCTAGTTTGGGACTCTTCACAGTACGCGCCCACCGGGATTCGAACCCAGGACCTTCTGGTTTCAAGGCGAGCTCGTATACCATTAAGCCACTGGGACCTGACCCAATGGCCCATGAAGTCGTGACCAGTAGGGTGCAGCAGGTCGGGTGAGGACAAATACTCGCCGAAGACATTGGCTAGGGGTCGCGCTATGTCGTGAATTGGCAGAAGTTAGAATTCATGGGCCATTGGATCGGGTCCCAGTGTAACCAGAAGGTCCTGGTTTCGAATCCCGGTGGGTGCGTACTGTTGAAGAGTCCAAACTAGGACGAAACAGCTATCCAGCACTCCCAGCTGGTTTTCCAATGGTTCTCTAGCTAATGTCAGCTTATGATGAAATCCTGTAACCAATCAAATCCCTACAAACCAACACTTGTAAAATATGTCTGTGTTCAATAGTTTAATTAATAAACTGTATCATAGGTCCATACAATAAAAATGCCTACCTACATCACAGTTTCTGCTTTTATTTATTTTGCATTGTGGTAGACAGAATATACTCAATGATGAAATAACTGAGGGAATGGGTGTGTGCGTGTGTATTTGCGTGAATGAGTTGGTAGGCATTATGTACATGTCAGAAATTGGTATACGTACATGTTTTCGTGCAACTGTATGTTCATATTTATGTATTTTGTGGTTTCCTATAACAGTATATGCGAAAAAAAGTAATTTCCCGTTCAAATATCAACATGTCATTCTTATTTATCTGATGAATTTATGATCTTAAACAAGTTTTATTCTATCTATATTGATTTGTTAGTCTACTCAACGCTAATCATAAAATATGAAATATGTTGACAATTCAGACTTAGAAAAAAGAATAACAGAATGGAATTGTTTTTTTTAGATTGGATTATGGCAGAATAACTTGTGTTTTGATAACTTCTAATGATAACGTAGATAGCAATTATCTTCAGACTATTGAGAAAAGTAGAGGCTAGTGACAGAAGGGATAACAAGTTGGCCACCACAAGAACTGATACTCGTAAGTTTGATGAGACGCTAGTACTAAAGGAACACAATGCTGAATAAAATATTCAGCTATAACAAAACGTGCAGCTACCGTACGTTAGTGATTAGTTCCTAAATGAAACAAATTAATCTCTCACAGAGCGTCGGTGGCATAGCGGTTAGGACGCTTGCCGACCATGAACATGGTCCGAGGTTCGATCCCACAGTTCAATACTGCATACAATATATCCATTTGAACATTCTATTTCATGTTAGAGACAGAATACGTTTCCCACGGTTATATACTGCACTGGTAATAGAATACTATGTATATTTGAACGTTCTATTTCATGTCGTTTGTTGTAAATCGAAATCGCAAGCTCAGTTATTGGTTAAAGAGTATAGAGTGTAGATATATGAACAGCAGTTTGATTAATGGAAAATATACCTTGACTTCCGTGTCTTGCATTTTATCGTTACAATTGTAAAGGTTTTATTATTCTTTTCACGAAACAAATATAAACTGGGAAAATTATTGCAACAGAGAAAATGTGGATAGCAGTTTTATCCATCTTCAGCAGTTTTCGCTCAAGACTGCTTAAGAGATAAGTCCCAAAGTTATGACAGTACAACTATAGAATTTTACTTTTAAGTCAACGGGTTCGAAACTAATATTCTGTGATTTCTAGTTGTTGCTAATTTGCAAGATGCAGTGTACAAAGAAAAACATATTTTGAAGGTAAGCAAAATGCCTTGCAATAATATTTAGTTCAGTCGGGCTACCAATTAAATGTCTTTATTGAAAATGTGTGTTTGTAAAGCCATGTTTAAGCTGTTTTTCATAATAGTCATCTGGTTTTAGTGCTTCAGATATAGACTGCACTATCTCAAGCTCTCCTGTGTATTATCTTAGTCAGTGTTAAAAGGAAAGGGTTAATAAGTGATATTTTCCTTTTGGGTGTACTCAGAAACTTTTCATTATATTCACAAGAGAAAGCGTAAACAAACTTGAGTACTAAGATGAAAACATTCATGTGGTATTTCAACCTATTCTGATACAACTGATCATGACTTTAGTGTTTTCTTGGTGAACAGACTATTTATTCATCAATAAGTGTATTCTATCAAATCGTTTTCTGGTTCACTGGTTTTAGGATTGTCTTTTTTGATTTGATGACTACATTCCACTGTCATCTATCGCTTACTTGACTTTTTAATTGTATCTTGGCTATAAAATATTCCTTCTGGCATTCTGTACTTCTAACTTTTTCCCCTCGCCTTGATTTAATAATTTATTATTCCTTCTGCTGCTTTGGGGGGGGGGGCGTAATACGAGTCATAACAGATACTGAAAAATAGGTTTCCTGCAGCCTTCCCAATACTTCAGTATATCATGCTGACATTGCTGAGATATTGTGTATATTTGAAGCCAACTGCAAAATCCTCTTATGAAGTAAATTAGTGTTTCAATCATTACATTAGTAAGCATAAAAGTGGAGGATATTCGGTTGACTTATCTTCTGGTACTGATAAGAAATGTCTTATTTGCAAAGAGTTTCTTATGGAACTGAGTAGTATTTAGCAGTTTCCTATAAGTCAGGTACTTGGACGATTCCAGCCCACAGAGCTTAGACACTGTTTCAATTTAGTACAAGTGATAATATTTGTTAGGAGTCACTAGTGCTTTTATAATATGTATTATATATATATATATATGTATATTAAGTAAATACTGTAGATATGTAAGGTCATACAACTTACCCGAAGGTATATCGAAGCAATTATGCCACTGGTCGAATGATATTCCCCCGGAACCAGAGCAACGGTTAATAAATACTTCTAGGCATGGTGTTGACGGTAATAACAGCTGATACAAGGCATTTAAATCATCTTGTTGTAATGATCTAAGCAGACAGGGGAAAATACAAGAGTTTTTGGATAAATAAGTGGATGGAGATGAAGGCAAAAAAAAAACTAAAATAATAGAACAGAAAAGCAGAATCAAACAACATATTGTTACATCACATCTCTACAATTCGACTAGTTAAACATTTTTTATGAATTAGTTAGTGAAAAGGAAATCTATAAAAGACCATCAAATTGTTATCTACAGAAAATATTTTACTACTTGGGTGGTAACTTAAAACACAGAATATTATTAAATTTTAATGCATATGCAAATGCGCAGAAACTTGTATAAATTAAGGATTGAACTGTTACTATATCTATCAACGCGCATACACATCAGTTACATAATTGCTGGAAATCGGAAAAATATTCGAATCGAGCATTTTGCATTCATAGCTGTGCATCAGACACGGTTCAGGTCAGGTAATTCTGACAGATGTGGAAGCACTGATAGCCAGTATAAGGAATAAGAGGCTCAGATTCTTCAGGTGGATTCCGTTGGCTTCATTTTGTCTGTCCCTTATCATACCATACAGGATGATGTTCACAAAACCGACGATGAACATGTCTAATTGTATGCTAAGTGTAACACAGAAGCAGTCAGACTGATAGATGCACATAGAGGAGGAAAAACTAGGTAGTTTATTTTTATTTCTGGAACATAAAATTTCAGTGGCTACGAAGAGACATTGAATAATCTTTTTACTGCATCCTTTAGGCGTTTTGTTATTATTTCTCTGATGCTGTCACCGTGGAAGGGCTTCCGTGAAGCTACTGACCTACTAGCTTACCTTCGCGGTAAGTTCATATTTTTATCAAGGAACTTTTCAAGGATAACCATTTTCAGAAAATAATTCCTCATTAAGGCAGTGATTAGATCAGATTGCTCTATCTCTGCAAACACTTTACTAAACTGAGTTTATATTTCAAAGGTAGAAAATTCGTAAAAAAATAAGGATACTGACCAGTCGATGTATGTTTTCTATATAGTCCTTTTTATTGAAAAGTCCTTTTTCCTTATAATAAGGACGTCTAGGGATGAAATACTATCATTTCTTTATTTCTCGGTGGCAAAATTTATTCCACTATGGAAATCATTATATTGTAGAAGCATGTTTATTGCTTCACCTTCATTTTCCATAAACATGTGACAACAATAGGATTCCAATTCACTAATTACTCTGTCATCAGCTTGAGATCGACGTATGGAAGTTACGCTAATACTTCGTTCTCTTAAAAACATTACGTTACACTATTTTGGCCAGTTTTTATTAAGCGTTAGTCCGTGAATGGTGAACTGTAACAATATCTCCCCACTTTATATTTGTTATAAGGACTAGAAGTGCCGCTGAAACCAGAAAAAATGACTGTTAAGAAGATATTCACACATTAATGACGCCCTAGGAACAAACTTTAACATGTTAAAGTGTGGAATTCTAGCAGATTCAAGCTCAAATCTAAATAATTTCTGCCGCATGGTAGGAATATGTATATACCAATTACACTTTTAACGCTGTCAGTTTGGTTTTATCTAGATGTAAAATACAAAATATATTCTACCTCATCTTGGGATTGTCAGAGATAGGCATTTATACTTTAGTGACGATATTCCTACTGAAGTTCTAGCATTTTATTCACGACACCAAAGGGATAGCAGCCATCTTTCGCGTCGCACATACACACCGGTGCTATTTATCAATGGTTTTTTTATTTTTCATTTCCTTCACGTTCCCCAGTGGAACATAGGGCTTCAAGCTAGTTGGCTTGAAGTTTCTGTAGCAGTGCTTATTTTACAGGATGGGGTTGCTAGCCCCATGCCCAACCTTTCCTCTTTACTAGCATTATTTCTGGCTTAGCAAGGTAAAGGAGTGCGCCGGCTGGGGATCGAGCCCCGGACCATGTTCATGGTCGGCGAGCGTCCTAACCACTATGCCACCGACGCACTGGTGAGAGAGACAAATATCGTGATTCAGTAAGTAACCTAGTGAATAAATGACAAGATTAATAAGGCTGGAAGTAAGTGGAAATACCCACGGCTGATGGTTATGCTCGAACAAAAAGTAGTTAGTTTTTAAGACTTCAGTCGGTAATATCATTTGTGGTTCACCCTCTCCAAAACGATATGCAAGTTATTTGCGAGATTGTGTGACAAAACTGATTTTACATCATAAAGCAATGAAAATATGATGCACAGAGCAATATACTATAATTAGGTCAAAATATTGTTACTAAGGTGATTAAAATTGGTCTAATCATGGTCTGTTTTTCATGCATAGGTCAGGGTGAAGTTAACTGACCTCGGAAACTTTCACAATAACACAGTGGAACTGATAATACAAGAATAATAAAACATAAGTTGTAAGCATTTACGAATTATGCTAAAATATTCTTTGTTACAAAACTGAGCTATAGTCCATATCATAAATCAGTTCTGTAAGAATAGAATTTGTGCACTGTGGTGGTAGAGTATAATTCCATTGTGGGTAAAATCAAGGCCACCTTGATATGATTATGAGCAATAAATTGTGCTCGAAACGTCATCAGTAAATATTACTGTATAACACTGTGTGAGACTTTATCAAAATGAATTTTACCCACAATGGAATTATAAATCAGTTCTGCAATGAATCAGTGTCGTGGCTGACATTGTTTAACACTGGGTAACACTAAACGTCATTTCATTATGATAGGTAAATTGTCCTCGAAACGTCATCCAATAAATAATACTGTTCCAGCAAGTTAACAAACTAGCCTGAAATTCCACTGTGTGACCAAATCCAGTGTTATACGCTTATTTCTGTTGAATAACACTAGTCTGACTTTTCGAGAGAATGATTTTCATCATAAATATGATGAATACACCTTACTGACAAATATGAAGAAGAGTAAAACCTAAGAAGCTGCCTCCTAATATTTACTTCTGTATCATTTAGCTTATCACCCTACAAACTAGAATGATATAGATATACCGAACATTTCGTTACCGTGCCTGGCATTATTTCACATAGCTGTCTGAACTACTACCATTCTCACGCTATAGAGCTATTCTCACTCCATACAGAGGTCTTCCATTCAGTCTGAAATTACCTACCCACATGAAAAGGTAGAGGACTTCAATTTTTGCTAATTAAACTTGCCGCACTTTAGTCTCAGTATACTTTTAAGGGTAGGTCAGAGGCTGTCAATCACAACTTGAATTGTCTCAGGTAGTTGGATTTGTATTACAGGCCTACATGAATGCTGTTTTCATACTAGATGTTATGTTTGACTGTTCTAAAAGTGCTATATCAACATTTTTACACCTCTGGAGTTTGCTATACTGTGAGTGGAAATGCCTCTCGACAGCTTTTATCCTCAACCTATGAAAAATAGGTCAGTATACAATTTTATCACAGTAATAGAAAAAGAGACCAATAGGAGTCGGTCTAGCGGAAAGCAACTAGTAGCTGCCTGTAGCTATTTTCAACAATTAATAGGTTGTCATATTCAAGCATATGTTTTTTAAACTGCATGGAGATTTACTAAATAGGATGAACTTTTGATACTGGCTAGCATAACAGTCTACGGGTGCAAATAGATACCTCTGATACTGCGTTCCATCTTTTCCAACATTTCGGAATCTATCATCTGAAGGAAAGAATGAAAAATTATCAGGAATTAATCCACCATTCGATGGTCCTGAAATTTCCACCAAAAGATTTAGTTATCCTGTTGTTAGTGTTTAACGCCATTTCATAATATAGAGGCTAAAATTAGAAATAACTTATAGTGCATTTTGGATTTACCACAAATTCTCCACACAGTATTATATTTTGTGCCTCCGTCAGTCATTTTTACTTTGAAACAGTTTGTTAAGTCACTCATGTTTTAACAGGCAGCTGAGTTAAGTAAACACACAATAGCTACAAAAAAAGGGCATACTAGATGAAATTTGAACAAACTAACAGAAAGAGATTGTACAATTTTAACTTGACAGTACTCTGACACCCGCCTTAAAATGTATATACAATAGTGACATGTGCGTTTTATTTTAACAAAAAAATAAAAATAAAACAGAAAACTACGTCGCCACCGCCACTGATACCTACCTACATCACTATCTCACTTTTGATAATAATAACAACAACCTGTTGTTACGGGAATAGTGTTGTATTTCTAATGTGTTTTTTTCCAGAAGTACACAAAAGATTACAAAATTGGTTAAAAAAACACAATAATTTTGCGCTTTATCATTCATTCATTTTTTTTTTACCTTCTAAATGTTTTGTTTCAAACTATCTTGTGTGTGTTTGCATATATATTTATTGAAGGAATAACGACTGGTCTTGTCGTTGGCTTCCTTGAACGTTTGTAGACGAATAAATGGCTTTCAAGTTGACTAGCAATATCAAACTAATGTAAAGGAAGTTCAGTGCCTTTCCTTAAAATTATATATATATATATTTCCAGTCTTATTGTTTATTTTATTATCCGCCTCCATATCATCTCACAAATGTCGCTTGAGTATTATCATCTTCTGGATTTGTTAAAAGCGACCTTCAGAACCTTTCACTGTCTGCACTGCAGTTACGTTTTTCTGTCTAGCTAACCGGTTCGCCTTATTAACAAGCGAGCCTATTTTTTCACTTATACTCTATTAACGAATGTATTGTACAGTGAATATACTTGGATAATTGAGACAGTCTAACATAATCTTCAAGATTACTGCAGCAGTCCTTACATCATGAAGAATCCTTACATCAAATAATTATAATTATCCTGGGTTCGAATCCCAGTGGGTGCGTACTGATGAAGAGTCCCAAACTGGGACGAAACAGCTGTCCAGTACTCCGAGGTTTACGAATGGCTCTCTAACTAATGTCAGCTCATGATGAAAATCCTGTAATTATAATTGTATTTCAGTGGTTGCTTACACAGAATGATATTAGCTTTTATTATTTTGGTAATGTTTTGAGTGAAATTGCTGTCTGTAACTACACCAACCAAAATTAAAAAG